TTCAAATGAATTTGATATTCACTAGTCTTACAAATCCATACGAATAGATTTTGGTCCACCAATCGTACTTTGATCTTGTTTCTGTTTCTTATTATTGCTCTTCTTCAGTTGCTCCAAAGTTCATTCGTTCTTTTTTTATTTCATGCAAAAGAAAAGCTATTAGAAGTAGCTATCTTTCATCTCGCACTCGGTTATATCTGATTACAAACACAAAGTATAGAGATCAAACAAAAGCACACAAAAAAATTCATTCCACTTAGTAATCACAGCATTGATTGAACCGATAACTGGTTATAGTTTACTCAAGAAGAAAATTCATTCCACTTAGAATATCAACACATAATTTGTTTAAGAAGATAAAAAATATATGTATGAAACTTGTATAATCTCTCTTGAGCTGTGAACTTGTGCTCTATGATTCCCAATGGTCCAGGTTGCAGAATATTGATCACATTTTCTGTTTCTTTCTCAAGTTGGCTATAAAATGAAATCTTTCAAGTTTTCAACATAAACACACAAAACGACGATATGCTAATGTCTATTGAATCTCAAGGTTAAGGGGAAATCTGTTTTCTTGTTTGCCATGTTTCATCCAAAGGAGGTCTTTTAGACTTTATCGAAGCGGAAACCCCCCGATTTTATAGATATTAAATACCTATATCCATCCGTCAATTAAATGAAGTAAATCACAGTAACATATTCGTTACAAATCTAACAATATCAGAATTGAAAATGAAGAAAAGAGAGAAACATGGACGAACCTGAAGATAGCGATCCGACAGAAGTGACAACGATTGAATGAAATTTAGGTTGTTGTGAAATTAGAACTTCAGAGGATGCTTTGACCTGAGATTTGAGTGAATGGTTGTCATAGACTGAGGATTGATTCTCTTATGAATTGATACCATATTCGTTTCGCCTGATATTGAGAAGCTACCACAAATCAACGTTTTTCAAATGCTTTCTCCAAACTATCTCCAATCTCAGAATCTTTGATGCATCTCCCTTGCCCAGGAGACGAAACGTTGAGACAGGGGTTCAGTATTGGGAAGAGAGAGGTTTAATCTGAACGTTGACTGAGACAAAACAAAAAAAAATATGAGACAATTGTAAAACGAAAATGCTGATATGTTTAAATAAAATGTTTTCATTGGTTATTGACAGTAAATGTTTTTACGTGTGGCAGCTCGAAAATATTTGAAAATGCTCATGTGTCATTCTATTCTATTCTATTCTATGGAGAGACATTTATATTATTATAGTATTAATTTATGTAGTTTTGATTTTAATTTTAGTTTCTAAAAATTTAAAATATGTAGTTGTTTGATTTAGATTCTTTTGTTGTTAATTTTTTTATCAATAATATCATTTTTATTAATATATGAATTTCAAAAATTTAGTTTTACCATTTAATTATTTTATATATGTAAATGTTTCAAGTCAAAATGTATAATAATTTCATATATTAGAATTAAAAAATGTTAAATTTGGTTTGTCTGAATATCTTAAGTAGTAATTAGAATAAAAATAAATTATTTAATATTTTAAAACATTAAAATATATAATCATAAATTTTACAAATGAAACACAAATTAAAAAAAATTGTTGCTTTCGAATTAAATTTTTTTATTATTTTCAAATTGTCTTGCATTAAAAAAAATATTTCAAAATAATAATTATATTTGTTGTTATAAAATTGGAAAGTTATTTTATATATGTACACGTGTCAAATCAAAAAGTATAATAATTTAATATATTAAAGTTAAAAAAAAACATGTTAACTTTGGATCATCCAAATACCTTAAGTAAAATTTAGAATATAAAAAAAATATTTAATATTTTAAAACATTAAAATATATAATCATAAATTTTATAAATAAAACGCAGATTAAAAAAAATTGTTGCTTTCCAATAAAAAAATATTTTTATTACTTAAATTGCCTTGCTTAAAAAAAATTCAAAAGAATAACTACATTTTTTGTTCTAAACTTGGGAAGTTTTTGAGAAATTTCAAAAAATACCACTTTTCAAGTACCACTTTACAAAAATACCACACTTTTGAAATCTTTACAAAAATGCCACTTTTTCAAAATTATTTTTTCTTTATATTATTTATGTTTGGGTTAATTATGTTCTATTAGAGTTTAGTTTTGAGTGTTTAGGGGATTTTAGGTGTCAAACCATTTTTTAGGGTTTAGAATTTTAAGATATAGGCTTTATAAAGCTATAATTAGTGACATTTTTGTAAATTGACACCCCTAAGTGGCATTCTTGCAAATGTGCACACAAAAAAATGGCATTTTTGTAAGGGGCAGTTACAAAAATGCCACTTTTTGTGTGTACATTTGCAAAAACGCCACTTAGGGGCGTCCATTTACAAAAATGCACTAATTATAGATTTATAAAACCTATATCTTCAAATTCTAAAACCTAAAAAATGTTTTGACACCTAAAATCCCCTAAACACTCAAAACTAAAATCT